TTACAGACCCTGTGCTGCCTTTACTGACAGTACACTGCCTGCTTACATTGCTCACTGATCTCCCCGAAGTTTTGTTTTTGTTTTGGTATGTCTAATGATTTTTTATTAGATGTTGTGATGGGCATATTTATACACAGGATTATATTGTATTCTTGCAGTGTTACCCAGCAGTAGCCCAGGCTATTCTGGAACTCCCTCTGTAGACCAGGCGGGACCTTAAACTCTGAGGTCCACTTGCCCCTGCCTCTGGAGTGCTGTGCACCACCATTGCCTGGTTCTTGTTAAGTTTCTTTACTTTAGGACTTAAGTCTGAATTTTCCATCTTTATAATCTGTTAAGCTCTCAGCTTCCTCCTCCCTCTCTTCCTCTTCCTCCTCCTCCTCTTCTTCCTCTTCCTCCTCCTCCCCCTTTTCCTCCTCTTCTTCCTCCTCCTCCTTTTCCTTCTTTTTCTCCTCCTCCCCCTCCCCTCCTTCTCCTCCTCTTCTTTTTCCTCCTCTTCTTCCTCCTCCTTCTTTTCTTCTTCCTTCTCCTGCCCTGTTTTTTCTTTTAGTCAGGGTTTCTCTACATAACCCTGAATACTGGGATGGAATACTTACATACTAGAATATGTAAACCACGCCAGCCTCAAACTCACAGAGCTGTCTCTGCCTTCTAAGTGTTGAGATTAAAGCATGCACCACCAAACTCAGTGTTCTCAGCGTCTTAGTAAAGGCCTTCTGCATCATCTTCGCAATCATGCACTAGGGAGCCCAACACCAGACTTCTGTACTTGTCTCTCTTCAAGACCTTTCACTCTATGGTACCAGGACTCAGTCCCAGACTTAGCAACCCTAAAATGTAATAATCTCTGGCACCTCAGCCCAGAAAGGCTGGTTCCTTGCTTAGAGTCCAATTCATCTCCAGGGAACAGGTGAAAGCCAGGGCTCACTTTGAATATCTCCAGTGTATGAAGGATGTCAGTCCAGCTTTGTGAAATGTCTTCCAAGAGCTGCACCCCTCTCCCATCCTCTTATCTTACAGTTGTTTCTAATGGGAGCAGAAACACAACACTGGCTACTCTGTCATTTTTAATTCTAAAAATCAGAAAAATCCCAGAGTGTTTGCATGTATATCCATCCACATTCCACCTAGAGTTCAGAGTACAAGGCTGAAGGCCAAGCTGGGCATGGTGGCACACACCCAGAATCCCAGCCCTGAGGCTGCTGACAGAGGAGGACTACAGATCCAAGAACAGCCTGAGCTACACAGCAAGACCCTCTCTAAAAGAGTAGAACAACATCTGAAGAGTCCCGAACATTGATCTTTCTTTCTCCACAAACTGGATTTATTCATAACTACAGGGGTTTTGCTCTGTAATTTGAAAAAAAAAACCATTATTAATGTTCCTTCTAGCAAAAACCAAACAAAGTGGATGTTTCCGCTTTCAGTATTTCCACATTTATGTTCTTTGAAAGAGGAACTGACGTAAGTGGACAGCCCAAATCACGTCCTTTGTGATTCACTTCAAAGGCAGCTTGTGTCTTTTCTACCTCTGGTTTATTAGCTTTTCTAGTCTATTGCCCCATCTGGAGTACAGTATGAGAGCAGAGACTACGAAGCCTCCTTATACCTCTCACAGGAGCTAACACATTCTGGAATCCACAACAAATGCCCATGAATTGTCTGTACTGTTCTTGACATTTTCAGTCACACTGCAGTATGTCTCTATTCTGAAGCAAGTTTCAAAGGTGCTGCCACAGGCCTGAGGGAAGAAGGTAGCTTACTTGAGAGTGTCTTTCCTGCTGATGCCCACAGCAAGCTCCTGCAGCTGGCAGGCTAGCTTCTCCAGAAGACTGTGCTCTTCCTCCTTCCTCTGCTCATAGTTCCCCACAGGTGCAGCTTCATCAGCCTGTGAGAGAATAGGGACCTGTTTTACTGGAAAATAGACCCCAGATTCTCTAAATATAGTCAGTGTAAAGGATGACATCAGGGCCAGAGAGATGGCTCAGTGACTAAGAGTGCTTTCTGTTCCAGCAGAAGATACAGGTTAGAGTCTCAGCATGCCTGAGACAGCTCACAGCTGCCTATAAACTCCAGTTCTAAGGAACCTAATGACTTCTTCTGGTCCCTGAGGGAACTGCAGGTATGAGGGGCACATATAGCCAGAAAGGCACACATTCATACCCAAAAAAGCATATTTTTTTTTAAAAAAGAAGCCAGGTATTACGATTCACACTTTAAATCTCTGCACCCAGGAGGCAGAGGCAGGTAGATCACTGTGAGTTTGAGGGCACTCTGGTCTATATGGGACAGCCAGAACTACAGATGAGACCCTGTCTTAAACAAACAAAAAAAAACCAAATGAAACCAACAAATAAATAAATAAATAAATAACAAAAGCTCCAATAAATATTGCAAGGAAACATTGATTACCAATGTAAGAATACATTAACCTTGGAGAAGAAAGAGTTTATAGTTCATTGACTTGGAATTCAAAGTAAATGAAAAATTTTGGCTTTCCTTGTTTCTTTATTATTCATTACAGATTCAGTACGGGACAGATTTAGGTAGTAGAATATTAGGCAGCCCAAAAGACAAGGCAGGCTTGTTCCTAAATTCCAGCATTTACTGGTGAGACAAGATTTCTCCCCCCTTGAAAGCAACCTTTTGTTGTCCTTGGAAGAGGAACAACTAGGTTTTCACTGCTCCTAAGGGGCTGCCCTGCCGCTGACACAAGAGACGAATGTCACTGGAGAGGTCCAGGCTAGACAGATGCTCAGGTGCAGGATCAAGTGTTCAGAACAGGAGGTTCCCACTGTAAATGCTCTGTGGGGCTTTAGTCATGGCCACCATGGAGACCCTGGCTCGTGTTTAAAAGTCCCGGGAAGGACCGTCAAGAGCAAATTCCTGTTCATCTCACTTCTGCAAAGTCACTGATAGGAGAGTTACTGTGGAAGCCAGAGACCTCTTCACCAGGTCCGCTCTCCCCACACATTTTAAATCTAAATTGTAACACACAACTAATTCAATGCAAAAGAAAGGGAAAAAAGCCAAAAAAAACCTAATTGTTCCCAGGTTTCCTGAATCGGTGGTTCTATGTAAAGCAAAAGAGTCTTAGTATCTGAAATCCAGGCTGCTCTGCTTTCAAGTGAAGCTCCATAATAGAGCTATCGGACAATAGTGGTGACTGATTCTGGCCGTACACTTGACACACCTGGTGAAGGGAATCGCCACTGAAGAACTGCCTCCTTAAGATTGGCCTGAGGGCATGCCTGTGGGACATTTTCTTGACTATTAATTCTGCCAGAGGCCCAGTCCTAGGTAGGTGGGCCTGTGTATAAGGCAGGCAGCTGGATGTGAGCCTGAGAGCCGAGAGTGAGCACCAACTCTCTGGTCTCTGCTTCAGTTTTTGTCTCTAGGCTCTTGCCTTGAGTTCTTGCCCTGGCTTCCCTCGGTGATGACTGTAATCTGTGAGCTAAGTAACTTTCCTCCTTGAAGTTGCTTCTGGTCATGGCATTTATCACAGCAACAGAAGCAAATTAAAACAGCAATCCAGAGCTGGCTGTGGCTGGACATGGTCCCTGATGCAAACCCAGGATCTTAGCAGCTGAAATTCATTCCCACTTAAAGTATTTGTGTAAAAGGAAGGAGATTTTTGTGATTTGTCATACTTACTTTGTTTAATTTTTGAAGAGCATTTTTATTTTCATCTACTGCCTGTTTTAACTGGATACATCTAAATTTTAAAAAGATAAAGTATAGGTTAGTTCTCTATTGTCAGAATTAGGCAACACTTTTTACTAAATCATCCACAGTTTCTTGAGTGATAAGGCTAATTGTTTACCAAGAGAATAGTTGGTCACATGAAGACAGCTGAAGGTGTGACTATCGTGAGCAAGAACAAATGACTTTTAGAGATTTGTGACCAGGTCATCAAATCTGGGCTCCTCAGGCCAAGATGCCAGGGTGATTCTGCCTCAGCTATGGAGGTTGACCCTGAGCAGTTTTTACAGTTATTGCCATGAAGACAGCAACTCCACAACTGTCAGGTGCGATGTGCTTTCTTCTAGACCATGCTCATCTACACGGACCTTCTAGCCTCATTACCGCAGACTGCAGCTAGGCACCCGCTCTCCCTTCAAAGACCTCAGATTTCTCACCTGCCCTAAAACATTTGTGTCATCTTCCCACTTTAACATCTAATTTGATTTTCTCATTCATGTCAGCAAACATCTCACAGTGTTACTGTGAAGATGAAGACAAAGTTTGCAGAGTACCAAGCACAAGGCTTAGCACAGAGAACAAACTGCTAGTAGGCTTCCCTCCCCCAAGAGGACTCTGCTCTTTCTCTCCTTCCGATCAGACTGGGGTAGAAAGCAGTGTTTAAAATACATTATGGGAACATTTACTCACTGTTACTTCCACATTATTCTCCATTATTATCTCATCTTGGGGAAAAGGAAAAGAGTAAAAGAGAGATTGAGAGGGTGAGAGCGAGACAGTAAGCAAACAAGAGAGAGGGGAGCGGGCGGGCGGGTGGGCGGCACATGAGCAGCACACTTTACCTTTGGTAAATATCTCTCCTTTTACTTGGTTCCAGAGCACCTGTTAGTTGGCTTTCAGTAACCAAACTATCAACCTACAACAGATGGAGATAGTTTAAAACATTGTGTAAATTGCCCTTTTGCCTTGGGAAACAGAACTTTACTAATTTTCCCACAATATATAATGAACAGCGTTGAATATGGGCAATAAAGTGGAAATTTATAGCAAATACCACTAACTGGATCCTACCCTTAACATCTTATAATGCCTGTTTGATTTATCTATCCATTTTTTTTCCATGAAAAGCATCAATACACTTTCCTCAAATACGCCATCGGCCTCACTAGCTAGAGTTCTCTGTTAAGGTCACACACCGGTGGAGCTGCACAACCCCTGAGGCACACATTTGTTACACTTTAACAGACACTCTTCATAACCCTAAACCTTATCAAGATGGAGGAAACTGCCCCCAAAGGTGACTTTACTCCTAATAAATCCTCACTCCATTCCTCCTGAGATAAAACCAGCTCATTTTTTTCACTACAAGTGAGTTCTTCCCACTCGTGGGAGTTGAGGGGAGTTGGCTAGCATGACTCTGTGTAAGCCTCCTGTGCCTTGTGCTTTTGAGGGATTTCATACTGTATGACTTGGCTTATTTTTCACTACGGATGGGCCAGGACTTTCCTTTGACTGGTGTTCTACAAGCACTCTCCCTTACCTCTGTTAAGTCCCACAGAGGCATGCATTCTTTGGCATTTCTATAGAGTGTGTGGAAAAGGCAGTGTGGGGGAGGGAAGAGGTCAAATGGCACCAGCTTCCTCTTCACTCTTGTAGTTTGGTGCCCACCAAATGCTATTGAAAGTCACTCTCCGGACAGAGGCAGCCATCAAAGGCCTAAGTGAAAGGCGAGTCCTTGGTCCACAGACACCAACATGAAAATCTATTCCAGTGCCTCCTTCAGGTATGGGAACTGGCAAAACTAGCTAACATTATCCACCATGTCCTTTCCAGATGTGGTATTAAAGGGCTCCTCCCTCACCCCTCACCAAGGATACTTTCTTTACAACGGACAGACCATTACAGTAAACCACACCAGATCAAAGTGGCAGCGTTGTGGAGTGCAGTCCCAGCTGATACATCTACAACAAAACTGCACCTGAGGCTCGGGATCCTTGTGGAAGGGGTGATGGGAAGACTGTAAGCGCCAAAGGAACAGGAAGTTTGCTGTGAGACTGTGTCTCCTAGAAATGTTAGAGAAGCTACACTGGTAAAATCTCGACAATACTGCTACTCAAACAAGATTTGAAAACCAGGAGTCACCAAGAGACATGCTAATGTGAAAGAGGTAAAGCTTAGAGACCTCGGCCCTAGAAAGAGAAAGCCAGGCAACTAAGAAATGCTGAGAGCAGAAGAAATAGCCTACCCCAGGGAAGAGCATACCAAATGGTTATCCAACACTAAATGGTCAGCCTTGAAAACATATACATGCAAGTAATGTTACACAGACGGAGCAGGATGTATTTATATATTTAGGAATACACACACACAACGTGGGGATGGAGGAGGGAGTGGCAGCAGTACACGGGAGGATTGGGAAGGAAAGGGAAGGAGTAATTATATTATAATCTAAAAGATAAAAATAGGGCTGAAGAGATGGCTCAGCGGTTAAGCACACTGACTGCTCTTCCAGAGGTCCTGAGTTCAATTCCCAGCAACCACATGGTGGCTCACAGCTATCTGTAATGGGGATCTGATGCCCTCTTCTGGTGTGTCTGAAGACAGCGACAGTGTACCACATACATGAAATAAATAAATCATTTAAAAGATAAAAATAAAAAAGAGAGCTCATGAGCCAATCTGTCTTCAGATCAAATAATCCTGAAAACAATAACTGGTAAGTTTCCCTGCTGAAAGGCTGCACTCCCCAGCTTCCCCTATGGCCTACAGAAGTTATCTGCACCTCTGGAAAGGGTCCAGGCCATCATCTGCTGTAGACATGTTGGTCATCTGCACTTATGGGTGACAAAGATGGCCCTTAGTTGTGACTAACCAAGGTCCCGCCTAAGATCAGACCAAGCCTCTTTCGCTTTCCATTCTCCACAGCTGCTTTATATAACCAATACAGTGATGCAGAAATCTGGAGCGGGAGTCTGAGTCTGCTAGCAGCTCAGGCCCACTCACAGACAAACCTTCCTGGCTCTCATATGCTCCCTGGCCCTAGGCTGAGAGGGAGCAAGCAGGGCCATCTGCTTCTCGCAGGTAGCCTTTTCTTATTTCTCCCTCCCGCCCCCCTTCTCACTGTTCTGTCTCACCCTGACACAGTCTGACTTAGGTAGGCGGCCATGCTGCATTAAACCAGAACATGTATGCAACATAGCAAAATCTTGGGCCAAGGTAACCCCCTGGACCTAATTCAGAGGCACCTAGTTAGGTCTGGGAACTCAATGGCACTTTCTTCTGTCTTGAGACCTGCTTGGTCAACTTTCTAGGTGTGGGAGACTTTCTATGGCTGAGAGAACTACTAGATAAGCCAAAAGCTCTGAGAACCTTCCACTGGCCCTGTGGATTCTCAACCCTGGCACTGTAACAGCTGGGGACACTCTTGCTTTGCAGGTGTGCTCGGTCATTTTGAGGATGCTCTAAGTGATTGGATATTGACCTGTTTCTGTTTTTGTTCCTTATCTACTCCAAATTTTCTGTAGAATTGAAGCCAGTTACCGTGACTCTCCTTTGCCTTTCAGTGCAAATCTGTCTTCAAAATACACTGGATAAATGGCCACTGTAGGCCCAAATTCAGAACTTTTGATTTTTAATATCTCAACTGATTTAAACAATTCCATTTTATGGACTGGCAGTGTGGTTCAAGACCTCCTCCTCCCATAAAACTCACAGCTCACTTAAATATTTTTCAAGGCTCTGGCTTAAAACCATGTCCTGGGCCAAAATGCCCACTGTTTCTGCTGAGCCTCCAAGTTCACATCTTCAGGGACTATTCCTGAGGTAACGAAGAATCCTTTTGCCTTACACTCCCCTCCTCCCCTACTTGTGTGTCTGTCTGTCTAAGGCTGGAAAATCTTGTATCTTTAACAGCTAAGAGGTTGTCTTAGGGTTTTTTGTTTTGTTGTTGTTGTTGTTTTTCTTCCTTCCTTCCTTCCTTCCTTCCTTCCTTCCTTCCTTCCTTCCTTCCTTCCTTTCTTTCTTTTTGAGACAGGGTTTCTTTGTGTAACCCTGGCTGTCCTCTGTAGACCAGGCTAGACTCGAACTCAGAAATCCACCTGCCTCTGCCTCCCAAGTGCTGGGATTAAAGGCGTGCACCACCACTGCCCAGCTTTAGTCAGGGTTTCTTTTCCTGTACAAAACATCATGACCAAGAAGCAAGTTGGGGAGGAAAAGGTTTATTCAGCTTATACTTCCACACTGCTGTTCATCACCAAGGGAAGTCAGAACTGGAACTCACATGGAGTAGGAACCTGGAGGCAAGAGTTGATTCAGAAGCCATGGAGGGATGCTGCTTACTGGATTGCTTCCCCTGGCTTGCTCAGCTTGCTTTCTTATAGAACCCAGGACTACCAGCCCAGGGACGGTATCACCCACAATGCACCCTCCTATTTTTGATCACTGAGAAAATGCCTTACAGCTGGATCTCATGGAGGGGTTTCTTCAAGGGAGGCTCCTTTCTCTGTGATAACTCCACCTTGTGTCAAGCTGACACACAAAACTAGCCAGTACAGAGGTAAAAGGACCCCAATTGTCTGTGCTATCTGCAGCCACACACAAACTGTTTATGGATATGTACATCACTGGGTCAGTCTTACAGAGACTTAAATATTGATAATATTGAATTTTGTTTCATGCTGTTCTATTCTACTAAAAAAGCGTGGCTCATGTCATCAATACTGATTAACGCTTGTTTAAAATCTACAGTGGGAGTACTCCCAAAGCTGCTCTCCAGCTCATGCAGTCCACACCAGTCCCTCTGGAGGACATGCTTTGTTTTGCTATATAAACTTCTTTTTAAGTTTTGTATTTTGCCACTAAGTCTTTTTCCTCAGGACAAGAACTGAAGAGCCCTATGTAACAATAATACATTTATAGATTAGCTTATCTAACCCCCAATACTGATTATTCATTCATATCCAGTTCCTTTTCTTATAAGCATCTCTTCTCTGCCCAAATTTAAAATTATTACAAGTGGTAGATTCCTGGAAATGTAATCAACCAGCCTAGGAGGATCAGTGTTTACTATATCTTGTCAAACTGCCGTCCAGAAAGGCTGTAGCTCATACACTGTAGCTGATACATCACGTCTTCCACGCACTGAGTGTTGTGACTTATTCTGTGTTTGATTACTTTTTGAAATTAACTTTTCTTAAATTACTAATCTTCTGTCGTTGGTTAGTTTATTAAGACTATACGTTGAAAAAAAAAGACTATACGTTGACACCTGTTACACTTTGAGAAAGTGATGAACTTCAAAGGAGAGGGGCGCAGGGCTGGGGTGGATCTGACTATTTTCGATTTGGGCGGGAGGGATGAGGGGTGTTGAGGGTTGGTGAGTCGTTAGACCGAGTTCTTAGTTGACCCGCAAGGCTTTCTGGAGGTTTTATCTATGGCGGTGGCCCGGGTTAGAGCCCGGTCGCCGGGCGCTTGGCTCCTAGTGAGGGGTTGGTGTGTAGGGCCCTCTCCCCCGACCTACCTGCTGCTTCAGCTCCTGACCGCGGCGCCTCAGCGCCTGCAGCGGGTCCCGCGGCCGCCGGGCGAGCATCGGCCTAGCCGCCGCCGGCGGGACCGCGCCGGTTACCAGGGAAACCAAAGCGACGGCTCAGCAAGATGACGCTATCAGCAGGCGCCACTACCCCGCGCCAGGGATTGCGCTAAACCGTCGGTTTAGGCTTTGGGGGAATTTTTTTTCCCCCTCTGGATTCCTAGGGATAGTAGAGGTCCCCGAGAATCCCCGACTACTGCACGTCTCGTAACTAACGCGACCTCACACCATGCGGTGCTCTGTTCTACACAGCTTTCCGAAGCCGGGTCTGCCTAACTAATCTTCAAAATAGTTCTAGCATGGAAAACATTCTTAGCTACGAGTGTTTTCTTGTAGCATTTGTGGGACTCGGTTTCGCTGAACTTTCATCCTGAAGGTGGTTTTATTGTTTGCCTCATTGAGTAGCCCTGAATTTACAGAAATCCGCGGGCCTGTTAATGGTATTAAACGTATGTGCCATCACACTTGGCCCTGAGACGGTTTTAAAATCTTGCCATTTGGGGTATTGCTGAAGTGTCTCTCGAAAAATTTCATGTGGCTCATCCTCACTTCTATGGGGCTGGCTGGTGATTCTGCCTGTGGTGCAAGCCTGTGGGCAAATAGATTTCCCAAGAGCCCCAGTTTTTTGTTCACTCTCAGAAAGGTAGTATTTCCCTTGAGACAACCCTCTAAATCCAATTCCCAAACTCACTCGACAACAAACTTGGATTTAAGAATGATCATGGTCCAAGCTCATCACTGGATAGAGCCGGTATGTTATTGCCAAGGTATCTATTATTGTGACTCTTGGCTCCCAATTTATGGGCGAAGTATCATGTCCATGGAAGACTTTTCTGGTGTGGGAGAGGAGGGTGTTTGGTTTTGGACACAGGATGAGGATCTGAGGTTTGTATTTTACATATCAAAGCAGACCAGGTCTGCAGATTCTCCCAGCATCCCTCAGCCCTTATCTGACAAACCCTGCCCCTAACCTAGAACTTTCCAGTCCAGGTGCTGGGCTGCCCTTTCCCCTGTGGGTCTTCCCTAGGCAATTCAGACATTTGGTCTCTCTCCGGCTCCCTCCCTATCCTCTTTGCCACTTCTCTCTTCCAAGGATGATATCCCTGGCCTTGGTCCTTAAACTCGCTAATCTGGGTTGAATTTGGTCATTTCACTGTTGGAGACATATCTTTTTTTTTTTTTTTTTTTTTTTTTGGTTTTTCGAGACAGGGTTTCTCTGTGTAGTCCTGTAGTCCTGGCTGTCCTGGAATTCACTCTATAGACCAGGCTGGCCTCGAACTCAGAAATCCACCTGCCTCTGCCTCCCAAGTGCTGGGATTAAAGGCGTGCGCCACCACTGCCCAGCTGTTGGAGACATATCTTAACAGAGGGAACTTCATATATTTAAGTATAAAGGTAGAAGAAATGTGGGAATGGTCCACTACAAAGCTAGGGACACACAGAATATACAAACAGGAAGTAGTAGAGAGCAAGATTAGCACGGCATAGGCCAACCTGTTTAGAGATGGATGCCCAGAAGTGACTTATAAAAGGATGAACATATCCGGATGCTGCACTTAAGCAATGAGAAAAGAGGGCTGATTGACATGGCTTTGTGGCTACGATTATTGACTGCTCTTGTTCAGGACGCAGGTCCAGTTCCCAGCATCCACGTGGCAGCTTGTCACTGCCTTATAACTCCAGTTGCAGGGGATCTGACACTTTTCTCTGGCCTCTGCAGGTACCAGGCACCCATGTGGTACACAGACATGCATGCAGGCAACACTCATACTCATAAAATAAAAAAACAAATCATAAAACCAACCAACCAACTAACCAACCAACCAAACCAAAACAGCGCAAATACCCAGTCTTCCAGGAACAGGTCCAGAGGTGGAGCTAGTCCAGCCACAAGTCAAATTAACCCTAAATTTTTAGTTTAAGACAAAATGTACTTCAAGAAACCTACCCCAGCCGGGCAGTGATGGCTCACACCTTTAATCCCAGCATTTGGGAGGTAGAGACAGGCGGATTTCTGAGTTTGAGGCCAGGAGGCCAGCTGGTCTACAGAGTGAGTTCCAGGATAGCCAGGGCTACACAGAGAAACCCTGTCTCGAAAAACCAAAAATAAAAAAACAAAATAAAAAAGAAAAAAGAAAATAAAAAAGAAAAGAAAAAAAAAAAAGAAACCTACCCCAACTAGGCCACAATACATGATGTTGACTACAAAGCTTACCCTACTCTGGGGCTGGAGATGGAACACCTAGGAAAATGCTTATTGCACATGCATGAAGCTCTGGCTTCAAACACCCAGAATCCATGTAAAAACCTGGGGTGGGACAAGGTAATCATACTAGTGTGGAAGAGTTTGGATTCCCAGAACCCACAGTGGAAATGGCAGTCCCTAGGACAAACTTGGGGTCTACACCTACATATACAGTGTGACATGTGCACTCATACACATGTGGACATACATTCAGTACACACACTACATATACACGAAGAAAAAAATGGTGGAGAACAGTCTAGGAAGGCACCTGGCCCTGAGCTCTGGTCCCCACACAACTGCCCACCATTACCACCCACAGGCAGCTAAGAACCCTATTCTACCTCAGAGACCTTCAGCTAGTTCTCAGTAAGGGATGCTGACTAGAAAGCTCCAGCCAACTGGAGCCTAGACAGGATGACAGTCTAGAAACCAGCATTTCAGGCCTTTGCTGGATTCATAGAATAAGAACAAAGTCAGAAATAAGGCTCAATATTCCTAGGAAAATGGGCCATGGTGTTTTCCTGAAGAACAAACTGATTTTCTTAAAAATGAGGACAATGCTCAGTAATGCATCTTATAAACAAACACCCAGGACTTTGGGACTTGATATGACTGGCTTTATCTTTAAGCTTACTCAACGGGTTTTCTTCCACGTGTATATTCCATTATACCACTTTTTTTTTTTAAGTTTTCTACTTTCTATAGTCTTCAAAGTGCAAATAGCTTGCATTTGTAATGCTTAATTCAGGCATTTGACACAGCTCCTAGCTTTTCTAAATATGTCTAGAAAAATGACTCATAGTGGTTCCTTGATCAGATCTGTCTCCAGGCTGTACCAAGGATGTGACATTCCATCAGAAAGTCTCTGCTTTCAGGCTCCAAATCTCTTACTGCAGCAAACTGAATGGTAGGCAAACCACTGCTTTCCTTTGTGAGGAGAAAAAAGATTCAAAGACGCTTAATTTTTTTATTTTAAAAATAAATTCATAAACTGCAAGAAATGATTTCTTTCCAGTGCTTTATATCCATCTTCGACAAGCTGTTAAAAAACAGAAAGAGAAAAAAAATCAACAACACACTATCTTTAACTTCGAATTTCTGCGCTGTGATGGCAAACCATGAGCTGAGAAGAAAACTAGAGCACTGAAGAATAACTATGATGGCCGGGCGGTGGTGGCGCACGCCTTTAATCCCAGCACTTGGGAGGCAGAGGCAGGCGGATTTCTGAGTTCGAGGCCAGCCTGGTCTACAGAGTGAGTTCCAGGACAGCCAGAACTACACTACACAGAGAAACCCTGTCTCGAAAAACAAAACAAAACAAAACTATGATGAAATGTAAAGCTCCTGACATCCACGCTAAAAAGCCACTGTGGATCTATAAAAATGAATGTGGGGGCTGGGGCGTGAAATACCTCCCTCCCCCATTTCGAAATTAAATGTTAAGGTGCAATTGCATCGCACGTGGTAAAACCCTCAGCAAAATAAGCTGTTAATACCTGAGAGTAAGTTGTTAGAGAAGACAAAACTATTTTCTTTCTGAGATCTGGAAGCAAGCCACATTCTTGCAAGCCATGCAAAGACGACCCGAGGCTCACCGGCCTGTGGTCGCGCCGCTCCCACCATCCTGGCTGCGTTGGGGCTTGGGGAGTGAGAACCCGGCGGGCTCGAGCTGCAGCGCGTGCTCAGGCCAGGTCCAGCTTTTTCTGAGTTGTCGCCAGCTTGTCCTGCAGCCTCCGCTTCCTCCAGTCCAGGTAACGCCTTCGCAAGCGATTTGCTTGCCAGCCCAGGACCACTCCAGAGGCGAAAGCCACTAGCACGGACACCTGCAGCGTCCTCTCAGACACGTCCGCCATTGCAATCGCTCAGCACGTAAGAGTGAGCTACGGGGTGGCGTGAGGATCAAATGCCACAGCGCTTGTTTGAGGCCTACACTGAGCCTGCGCAAGGAAAGGACGCAGTGTTCCCTGGCTCTTAGGTCAGGAGGCTGTGATGAAAGATGGTCTTGGTTTCTGAATAGACTCCTCATTTCTACTACATTTCTTGTTTGACATTAGTCAGATATTCACTTGCATCATACCTGAAGTGGTGTCATCTACTACTGTTCGTTTTTCTTTAAAAAAAGATTTACTTATTTTATTTATATGAGTACACTGTAGCTATCTTCAGACACACCAGAAGAGGCCATAGGATCCCATTACAGATGCTTGTGAGCCATCATGTGGTTGCTGGGAATTGAACTCAGGATCTCTGGAAGAGCAGTCAGAGCTCCTAACTACTGAGCCATCTCTCCAGTCCCCATTTTTCTTATCTAAGTTTTCTGGTAACTCGATTTTAAAATAAGCAAATAGAGAAAAAAATTAATAACACTTGAACAAATTTAGATGAAATTGCCTTAAATTGAATAAAGTGAAGTTGTCAGACCAATGACCTTTAAGTAATTAAAAGAGAGCATCCAATATACTTAGCCATGAGAGAAATTGCAATCCAAACTACTTTTTCTCACCTTTACCAGAACATCTATCACTAACAAGAGACAAAAATGTCAGTGAGCAAAGAGGAATTCTTTATGCATTGTTGGAAATGCATCCTAGTATGGCCATTGTGGAAATCAGTATGGTGGACTCACAAAGAGAGAGAGAGAGAGGGAGAGGGAGAGGGAGAGGGAGAGGGAGAGGG